CCCGCCCCCCATTTGGAACCGCGAACTATGTCGAAAAACATGGAGTTTTCGTCTTCCCACTTCTCGTTATAGTCAACCTCGAGATACACGCTCCACCTACGATTTCGGTCGAGCGCTCGTGCGTTCTGTGGAACGACCATTAGGGATTCCTCATTCCGTTTGGCCTGACATTACAGCCTTCCTTCCTTCTTTCTGAAAATGCATCAGCTAAGGCTGCGCTAACTAAGCGTGGATCTTTTATTGGGCAATCGAGGAACTCGTGGAGTCACGGGGTACCCTCAGCCTCGTGATCTTCCTATTAGGTCCTGAACGAGCAGCTCGTTACGTGTCGCCGGCAAATTGACCTGGCGCGATAAAATCGAATAAGATGCTGGGACCGATTGTAATATTTGGCCATGACTGTTAGTGCGTTCGTGGGCCTGTCCCAATTTTTTAAGCGGTCTTTGTGTCGCGCGGCAACGAGGTCCATCGATTTGATTTATCGCCGCGCTCGCCTGTGTTCATGCTCGGCTGGCCATGTCGGTTACGTCAACCTTAGCAACTCTTTGACTACCGAAGTACCGATCCCACGATTGCCCATACTATTCGGCAATCGTCGTACGTTCACGCGCACTCTATTTATTCAGATACAATGGGATATAATATGAGAGGCAGAGCGTAACATCCTCGGAGCCTGACAAAGGCCACCCATTAATCGCGCTCCCTCGGATATTCACGTTCCGCAGAAGAAATTCTCTCTGAATGTCAGATGAGTTTGGCTGCTCCCAGGGCAAAGTGCTTTCACGGGACGTAGGTACTTCATAAAGCGGCCACTACTCAATCTATTTATACGTGTAGTCACCGGGAAACAGGGCCTCCTGCAAACATCTCGGCCAGCTTCAAAAGGGCGTTCAAGGGAAGTCCTCGAAAAAGCAGCCTTAGATTATTCCACAAGAGCGTCTTTGCCCAATATTACTGGAAACTGGGCTCCTGAGCTCACCGTCCAAAAAGGCTCAGCAGAATCGTCCCGGGATGACGTTCAAGTATCTGCCGCTCTAGTAAGCGTGAGCGATGGCTTTTTTTTCTGGCAAAGACTCTAGCCTAGAGCTGGAAAGATCTCTCTCTCTCTCTCTCTCTCTCTCTCTCTCTCTCTCTCTCCCTCTCCGTCTGTCGACGGGTCACGGGCGACCGCAGTAATTTTGTACGAATTACCAGAATGTTGTGCAACGAGCTATTAGTAGTCCTTAGGAGGACTCGTTATTCCGGCCGCGTCTCTCCTCGTTATTTATTATAATATTTATAATCAATCCTTCCTATTCTTCTCCCTTTTTCTTTTGGCAGGCTGCAGGCGACATCCTCGCTGAAGCATCCGGCCACAGGGAAACGCACAAGTGGCTTCGCGAGGCAGTAGGATTCTTGAATGACACAGCGATACCAAATATCAGTGAGCCGATTACCTCTGAAGATTAACGGAGCCCCAATAAATCTTATCCATGGATTCCTTATTCCTTTACGCAGAATCTTCTCCGGTTCCACGAGCTGCCGAACAGTACGACTGGAAGCTGTGGACTGACTGGAGCGAGTGGTCCGTGTGCGACAGGCGATGCACGCAAAACCGTGTAAGGCGATGTCGCTCCGAGAAATGCAGCACCGCTGTTCTTCGGGTGTGTATTACTATTGTCCTCTTGTCCTACTCGAATTCTCTTTTTCGGCTGCCTTCGATCTCTGAATCGGTGATTATCCGCAGGAGGAGCGCGCCTGTCCGCAGGACCGAATGGGAAGGAGACGAAGATGCGAGCAGCAGCAGAGACGCAGGGAACGTCGCAAAGATAAACAGTTTCACGTCGTCCAAGTGAGTCCTTATTTGGAAACTCTTCAAGCTTTCACTTATTCTATATAAACGGCGACATATGAATGTCTTTGCTCTAGATTCCCAAAGAGGCTGCGCCGAAACATGGAAGACAACGAGGAAAAGGATCCAGACGGCAGTCGGCCCGTCTTTATGGAAAATGGAGTAAATGGTCACCCTGTACACGTTCATGCACCACGCAACGACACCGGCAAGTTTTTACACTTTTTTTTTTTAATTTCCACGTCAAGGAAAAAGTTGTTACTTACTGTCGCGCGCAGACTGTGCAGGAAACCAGGAGTCTGCCGACTGGGAATCATTCGTGAGAGCGCATATTGCTACGTCGAGGGCAGCTTCTGCCAGAGATGGATACATCGGAGAATTCGCGGCAGTCAAGAGGACGACACTGATGGTATTCGTCGATTTAATCGAATTCCAATTGATCTCGGTGCAGCGTCAAATGCTACGATTGCTTCTTGCGACAGACTCGGATCTCGACAAGTTCGAACTGAATCCTGAGGGCGTGGATGGTCCCGCCGGCAGTGTCGCAACAGGCCTCGATTTGGAAGCTTCTTGGAAATGTGGCTTAGCATCTACTGGAAAAAGTTCTCGTCTCTCGTACTTCACCAGGATAATAGGCGGTCGTCCTACCGCTCCAGGAAGTTGGCCTTGGCAAGTCGCCGTCCTGAACAGATATCGCGTGAGTTTATACTAATCACGCGAAATAACATGTGCCTCCTTCCTATTCTTTTTCCATTTTGATAATTCCCTTCTTCCAGGAAGCATTTTGCGGCGGAACCCTCGTTTCGCCCAGGTGGGTTTTGACAGCTGCTCACTGCATTAGAAAACGGCTGTTTGTGCGCATAGGTGAACATGATCTTACGATGACGGAGGGTAGCGAATTGGAACTGAGGGTGGACGCCATTACTGTTCATCCACGTTACGACGCGCACACAGTCGATAACGACGTGGCTCTGCTTCGATTACCAGTTACTCTCAAACCTGCGAGCACCCGTGGAATTGCCTGTCTGCCAGCACCAAAACAACCTTTGCCCACTGATCAACTCTGCACAATAATCGGTTGGGGCAAATCGCGAGCCAGCGACGACTACGGGACCGACGTTCTTCACGAAGCCAGAGTAAGGACACCACTACCGACACCGACTGTATCTTACAGTTGCACACAATACAATACATTTAAGAGTGGATTGATTTACGTTATTTGCAGATTCCTATAGTATCTGCAGAGGCTTGTCGAGACGTCTACGTGGATTATCGCATTACGGAGAATATGTTTTGCGCCGGTTATGAAAAGCGCAGAATGGATTCCTGCGCGGGCGACAGTGGAGGGCCTTTACTCTGTAGAGACCCCAGAAGACCGGATCATCCATGGACCATTTTTGGAATTACGAGTTTCGGCGACGGTTGTGGGAAACGTGGAAAATTTGGTATCTACGTGCGCCTTACCAACTACGTTCGATGGATCACAAGAGTCATGAAAGAGACCGACGCCTACACGTAATCATCGCCCACTTCTATCCCCTCCTATCCCAATTTTCTTGTTATTGTTAATGTTTTTATCATCGACTCTATATAAGTATACGCGCACCGCCATCCCGATCATCGCTACTATTTGAGTCAATTTTGGCCTCACATTATTTCATCCTACCATTCATTCATTCATTCATTCATTCGATAGACTGCAACTGCTGTGCTTTAACTGTTGTTACTCCCTTCCCGCCTCCTATTCGGGGAATGATAACGATTGTATTATTTTGTACACAAATTCAAACTATTTTAGAAGAATACACCTATAGAAATTCTATAAAGCAGCAGAGTTTTTCATTGGACCGTTTCTTCATTTATCTTACGTGATTTGTGACATGAGCGTAGATCGTGGCAACAGTCAGACGAGATACAAGGCTTCACAACGAAATGTTATAAAAAGAGAAATTTATTGTAGCAATACACTGAAACGTGCAGTGACGTATGATCGTAATTTCGGCAGAGAATAGGATAGGATAGGCAGAGAAAGACGATGACGCAAGTCCGACGATTTAAGTTCAGTTAAACTTGCACTTTGAAAAGTCCATCTCGGGATGCTGTTCCATAAACCTGAAAGCAATACAGAATGAACGTGAGTTGTTAGGAAACTGTTAATCTATGGTTGGTATTCTTCGTTCCCAGAGAGATAGTCACGTACTTCTTAATAACGTCTTGCTTCTTCTGCTCATCGGAGGTGGGAAGGCCAAGCTCCTTCTGCCTCTGATCGTACATCATCTTCTCGACGAGACCACGCGTCTCGCCATCCAAGTCCGAGAGTTTGCTCGGCTCGGGATTGACCTTCTTTGTGCTGATCTCCGGATCACACGTCACCACGTGCGACCACCACTGCATCTTGTTCACCTGAAAGGGACGCAAAGTTGAGAAGCATTGATCGAATGTATCCAAAAAAGATCGATCAGGATGGACCAGGATCATCCTCTGGTACTCACTTTTTCGAGGTTGATTAGCAAAACTTTACCGTCCTCGATCACCCACGTAGATTCCTCGAGCTTGACCTCGTGAGGAAAATCACCGTCGATTATCGGCGGCTGACCCTTGACCCCGCAGGTCAGGTGCTTCTTGGTAATGGACACAGCGACGTCTTTGGGCCTCGCCGAGAAAGCGACCTTCAGTGGTACCCTTATCTGAAAGGAACGTACAATACGCATCTGAGTTATCGTCTTTGGACGCTACGTGTCGAGGGCAGGGGCGTCGGGAGCCGAGAGCAATGCTCAGAAATCGAAAAATCGACAAGGAGAACATGGGGGGGGGGGCATGCGTTCACTGATAGAGATCGCTAACTGGTTCGAGCTGCATGAAAAGACAAAAGTGCCCTCGGGAACGACGCTCCCCCTCGTGGTGACAATGAGGCTCGGAGGCTCGGAGGCTCGGTTGGAGGAATGGAAAGGCGTGCCAAGATACACAGGAGGACACGAGACAATGCATGGCAGGCAGGATATGTCAAGATGTCATTGCTTGTCAGTTGGTGACAGTATCGGGTGGTTGCGGAGAGTAAGGAGCTGCAAAGGATAACAATGGGGCGGCGGTGGAGGTTGGATTTCCAAAATCCCAGATGGCCTGTAGTGCGTGGCGGGAATTTCGCAACGGGCCGTGAGAGATCGTCTAATAAGAGGAGCATCTCCGGGGCTCAGAGACGGTCTTGAGTTTCCAGCGTGACGGCGAAGCCGAGTGCACCGGTGCGTGGAAACGGATCATGGCTACCAACTTTAACCCGTTAACAAAGTGGAATGTCATTACGACGAGGCGATTACGTTCGAACGATCACTCGATATCACACTCTTCCATCTGTCTCTCACAGTTCCCTTGGACACTCCGCAAAGAGCATTATTACGTATGAGAGGCGAGACGTGCGACATAGAATGAAGAAAGAGAAGAGTCACGGCTAGACGGGGATTAACACTTGCGAAATTCGTATTTCCAAACCCGGCAGTTTTTTCTGCAGAATCAATGAGGACGTCCGCAAAGACGACTGCGTCGTCCGTGGACGAAGGCTGCGAGAGCGTCGTTCCAGTCGGCAGAACCGTCGTCGATTTATTGAGCTTCAATGGAATCCTTGATACCTACGATCGGGTCGTTGCGCAATCGAATAGCTCGCTCGTTACTCACGGCGCCGCCGAATGTGACGCGCGTCGATTCTCCATTAATCCGAAGCGACCAGCTGTGTCTTCTCTCGTCTGTTTGGGAAAACCTGCACCTTTTGCCTCTCCTGTACTTCGTGTGCAGTCAGGTACCAGAGTCGGTTTCATATGCAATTACACAGCCTCTAGTCCTCTGGTAGGCTCATCTCCCTCCTCTCGATTCCACTCGAGTCTATGAAATCCGACACAGTTCCGAACGTGACGATCCAGCGATCGTGCAAGCGTACTTATTATGTAGATCCAGGATCGAGTGCCTGCACGCCAGAAGACAAGGCAAGAACCTAGATGCACGACAGACGTGCACACGAGTGCACCCCAGTGGATCCGGCTTAAGGTAATTCTGAACGAATTTACGGTGGCCCGTTGCTCCAGCTCCAGCAGCCCTTGGCCGAGTGGCAGAGGAATGGCAGGGCGAGGCGGGCGTTTCGCTGGGAGTTCCCGAGGGAGACGTCAGGTGTCGCGTTCCTGCCAGGATTCGAAGTAAGGTAGCAAATTCCTGTAGGGAAGGACCGGTTCTCCGAAAATTGGCGCCGGGCTGACCACACGGGTCAAAGAACGGCCTTGCCTCTCTCCTCTCCTCTCCTGTCGCCGCGGCGGCCCCTTCGAATTCACTCGACGCCACTCCGATAGCCATGCCGCCGTTCAATTCCAGAGCGGAGCTCGCTCCGAACCTGCTCTTTCTCTCTCTCTCTCACTCTCTCTGGTCGATCCTCCACAGGCCTTTCCTTCTCGTTCGATTGCATTTGATTCTGCCGGCTCCAGCGTTCTCGCAACTGCAGCTGCAGCGGCGCCGCTCGCTCGCCGAAGCAGGAAAACCTTATGGGGTTGCCGTGCACGGAAAAGGCACAGGGAGCAGAAAGAAGCGCGCCGAGCTGACAGAGGAGCGACGCGACGCGTCGCGCACGCCAAACCAGCGTCGCCGCTTGCACAAGAGCTCGCATGGCCGCCAAAAGTGAAATCGAGATGGAACGGGCCTCGAGATAACTGGAAATGGGAAGTGAGACCCGTCGGCCGGCTGCTTCGCTCGCCTGTGTTTACTCCTTCGCTCTTCGATACTCGCGAGAGCTCCTGCTGGCCGCACTCTTCGAAATGTCCTCGAATGTCCTCGAATGTCCTCGAAGAATCGAGTATGGACGCCTGAAGAAAATATCTTCCTTCGACATTGTCGTCCGAGTGGATTTACGAGGCTTTACGAGGATGTCGACGATGTCAGATATCTGGCACCGTTTTAACGTACTTGCGTAACCTAAGAGTGGCTTCGGCCTCTTCTCCCTCCCTCTCCCCCTCCTCCTCGTCCTCTCCTCTCGCGATCGAACCATCTAGTCACTTCGAAGTATATACCTGGAAACGGTTGCACCGACGACGAAGCCAACGCTGGAGTGTGAGTGAGCGAAGGAGGGCGGGCAGGGGACGGAGGGGGAGGAAGACACGGAAGATCCAGAAGATTGAGGCTTCCCAGCAGAATGTTTTCTGTTGTCTTCTGTTGCGTTGCGGATTGCGCACCTCTTTGGGTGACACCACGCCGGTGTCAAGGACTGTGAAAGATGAGCAGCGGCCTATACCGAGATTTATTGGATTATTTGCGTATATGTTACAAGGCTGCGGCATAAGTGACATCGCAGTGACATCGTTGAATCCTGGATTAAATAGGCCGCGCAGAGCTCTGGCTCCTCGATTCTCGCACGATCCCCCCCCCCCC